GCATTGCTTTATTTTGCTCAAATAATCTTATACCTACGAATGAGACTGTTGTTTTTCTGTTTTCCTGCTAGCTTCCTCAAAACAGGTACGGACTCATGATTAAGACTACAACGCAAACACTGACATATAAAATTGAAATTTTGTAGTTTGAGAAGCTTGCTATTACAAGCGGCTTGCCAGTAGCAATACTGACAAGCTGCATGTAACAGTGAATACTCCTTTACTCTTAGACTTTGATCGTTGGCACGATTTGTTGGTGGGAAAACTTAGTCATTTGATTTTATGCTGTAGTAACTTAATATCCTGCATGACGCATCAACTATTAAAAGTGCTTTTAAATTCTTTCCAACCAGTGCTTGGGAGAGGAGATCATCAACAACTGTACTAGCGTCTGGTTGCTGATGAGTTTCATTACCCCTTGGGTGGCTTTCGAGTAATCATGTGTCTTACTAAGAAAAAAGGAACATGAAAAGAAATGGTTTTGACTTCGATGCTTCTGTCAGACATTTGTCTAGAAAGTTGAAGCAGTTTGGTTTTTTCCAAAGTGCTTAAACTGAAAGGAAGTGCTTAAAATTTAGCAAACATCGATACTTGATGGATTTGGGGAAATTCAGCCGCAGTCAACGCTTACTGTTTCACAACCCGTTGATTTAGCAGCGATCAGTCGTCCACTGCTTTCTAGACCACTAGCTGATCTGTTGCGATGGAATGCAGTTGATGCTGACGAGAGGTTACTGCATTTGTATTCACCAAATATAATTTAAAAATATGAAATGCAGGCAGCCAAGCACTAGGTTTGTCAATACGATCATTCGTTTTTGCGCTAGTCTTGCAGCAACAAGTTATTAGCAGCATAAATGGTTTCTGCGTTAAATTTTTACACTTCAAAAAATATTGGCAGTGTTTCGGCGTTTTCTTGGACGCGGAGGGAAAAGGGCGTTGGCTAGTATGGTGGTGTTGCAATATGGGGAAGTGTGAGCTTTCAAAATGCATGATTAACAATGTTGCATGAGAACCGGTCATCCTTCCGGTAAGCTGTCATTCATCGAAAAATGCAAATTTGATAAGGTACAGAATGTCGAAACGCAAAGCACACTGGCTTTTCAGGTTGTGATAAAACTGAGTGTTAGCTATGTCTTATGCAGGGAATTTAGCCTCCAAGCTGCATTTAAGCGATACATGAATATAGAATATTTTTGCAAAGTTTATGCCTTGCAACTTGTCCGATAGTTGAAAAGTCACTTCGCTTGACAAATACCTTTCACATGCTCTAAGTTGTAATGCAGGTGCAAGTCTGAACTCAGTTTAGATTTACGATCTTCCAGAAGGGCGATAAATATTCTAACAAAATTTCAACTATTATTTTCCGAATTTTTTCTGGTTTGGCACAATGACAAATGCGAGCTTGAACATTGTACGCATAACATTGATATGCGTCATAGCTGAATTTGAAATCTTTAATTCACAATACATCTGTATGAAATTTCAACTTTCTAGTTTGCTATGCGTTTTTGCATATATTGCAAATGCAAAAACAAATACTAGCAAAAAGCTGTCTGTAAGTGTGTGTGTGCGTGTCACCCACTTTCAACTCAAGAACCAGAAAAGCTAGAGGTCTGAAATTTGAGAATATGTGCCTACACCATGTGCGACCCTCCTGTTTTTATATCATTACCCGTGTATGCCTGGATGCCGCTTATGAATTTTTTGGCGGGAAAGCGATCCCGGGAGCCAGAAAGGATAGAAAGTTGAAACTTTGCAGAGACATTTCCTGTGCATGTGTGAGCTAAAGATTTCAGATTCAGCCCAAGGTATGTGTGACTCTCGTGTACCGACGCGTGAAAGTCTCGTCGGAAAAATTGTTAGTTCGGCAACCAGAAGAGCTGGAAGGATGAAATTTTAAGGGTATATTTCCCGTTCATGTGCAAGTTGAAGCCTCCCAGTACGCGTGGTACTTACGTACGCACATGAAAGTTTTGGCAAAAGAATTGCTAACTTGGGAGTCAGAAAAGTTAGAACGTTGGATTTTTAGGAGTATATTAGCTATTCAAGTAAAACTTAAGTATTTTAAACTCAACCTCTAGGTATGCATGGTTCTGACGTGCAGGCAATTAAAAGGTTTAGCGGGGAAATTGCTCACTCAACAGCTAAGTCATTTTCAAAGAACGACCGTTAAACAGAAATTATTCATTTCGTTGTGCAAAATTTAAGATAATTTACACTAGTAATCGCAAAAGGTAGGTGTAAAGCAACAATCATTCATGCAGTTATCGACCTGAGTACTTCAAGTCTGGTGCAAAAATGTATGATCGTACTGGCATGCGTGGTGCATCCTAGCCTGAGTCTAGTTCTGGAAAACCGTTTTTCCGTCAAAAAATTTACATATTTTTCGGTGTCCTTATGCGAAAACCAAATGTACGTAAACGACAATTTCAGATTATGAGGATCGTATGCACGCTCACAAGATTTCAGTTTCCTGGATCCCTCGGTCTGGAGTTGAAAGTTGGTGACAAAATTCACAACACACAAACGCATACACAGCCTCTTGCCAATATGCGTCTTTGCATTTTCATAATATGCAAAAACACATAAAAAAATTATAAGTTGGAATTTTGGCAAATTAATTCCTCTGTGGATGGGTCCTCAAACAAAGAAACAGACTTTCACAACCTTCTGAGTCTCCTTTACTAACTGTTTGTTCGTAGGCAGTCTTGCAACTCTCCTACAGTAAGGCAAATGGAAGTCGACACAGACAATTATGTAACTTGTAAAAAAAATGCATGCTTTCGTCGGCTTCATGGAGAGCGGCGAGATTTGTTTCTTTCTATGAAAATAGTGACAACAGCAGAAGAAAAAAAAAAGAAAAAAAAACGCAACCGATAAGCGACTGATAACGGTGACATTTACAGCAGTGATAATTATAACAATAATAGCAAAAGTGGCGATGAGAAGAATGAATTGGTTAAATAAACGTAAAATTTCTTTTCTATTTCAGCCGATCACCTGGAAATCCGTTTTTTGGAGCACCAAGTGACGTGATCATTGCTGAACCGATGCTAATCATGGGACCTCTCACGCAACAGCAACCACAACCGCAACCATGGCCTGGAATATGGGATAATAACAATATGGGCTTGAACAATCAACCACAGCCTCGCCAGTTTAACTGGGCTCAGCAGACCGCAAAACAAGATTGGAGAAATTTCTGGCAATGGCCCAGTTCCAACAACAACAACAATCAAAATACTGCCCAATGGCCGAGAAATTATTACTGGCCAAGCCATCACCAAACAGCACAGCAGTACCAGCAACCCATACCTGTGGTACAACAGCAGCAACCCCCCGTTTCGTCCTGGCCAGCACCAATCCAGTGGCAAAACGGCGTGCAGGCTGGCAGCATCTGGCAAAATAGCCAGTGGCAAGCAGGCAACCAGTGGTCAGATGGGTGGCAGCAGCAGCAGCAGCAGCAGACCCAGTATCCACAAATATGGCAAGGAAGCCAGCATCAAAATCAGCAGGAATGGAGCGGCCAAAGGGTAACCGATTCCGAGCACTCACCAAGAGCAACAGGCCATGCAATCTCGTTCCTGAATAAGTTAAGGGAAATGATTGGGATGGTTTTGGTCGACAGGCTCGCCAATCTATTCCAGCGGCAGGTTTGATGATAGATAAGTGCACGCAACACACCCACACACACAACGCGCATAAGTTGCTATGCACACAGTGGCATAGTTAGCGGGGTTTTTTGGAGGCAGAAGAAACCAGCTACGGTACAGGACTCCGCTTTTTATTACCTATCAAAGAATGCTTCGGCAATAAAAGTGGCTGCATGTAGAATAACTGCTTTCCTCCACCTGCATCGCCATCGCCACTATCACTTTCAAGCACGGCGGAAATTCAGACTGATTCCAATGGCAAGTTGGTACCGGCGTGCCTGAGATATTAAAGAATCATCAGTCGTTCTCAGCTTGCTATTCTTTAGCAACCCTCACGGAGGCATTGCCGACTACCCTGTCAACAATTGCTTTTACTTTTGTCAATTTTTCATGCCATCGAACCTCACAGATTACGAAGGACGCTAAGTCTCATTAGTACTGTAGTTAGTATGAAGTGATTTTTAAATACGACCGTTCGGAAAGGTGATCTCGCTGTTTGCCTAAACAATGCATTCACATCAACAACACCGTGTTCACACACTTAAACTTTTGATTGGCTTCTGTTTAGTGCTTTTGCCGAGTTTGCGAGTGTACTTTACAAACAGAGAGCGATTAAATTGCTTCTGTAATACCCAGTAGCAGATCCACGCTGCTCTACCGTTACTATAACTGCCACTTACACGCTTGCAGGAGTTACTCAGAATTATCAAAGGGAAAAATCTGGCCACACTATCAACAGCTTAATGAGCTTTGATTGTGTGATCTGTCAGCATTCTCTTATTGCTGATGACGAAGCGCTACCACTCGAATTTCCTCTGGCTGTCTCATTTTGGACTGGTTTTTGGTTTTTTTCTGATGTAAATCGCCAAAGGTCTGAAGCGGATTCACACATAACATGCGCATGAGTGTAAGGGAGAAAAATAGCAACGCGTACCAGACTAGCCGGTGCGATCATGCGTTTTGTGCAATTCAGCCCATCGAAC